TATATATATATATATATATATATATATATATATATATATATATATATATACGTCCTACATATAAGCACCTATATATATGTGTGAGAGAGAGAGTGTGTGTGTGTGTGTATATGTGTATGTATATGCGTTAGTATATATAGTAGTCATCCTAAGAGGTTGTCAATATTGAGCTGAACTGAAAATATATTTCGTAGAGTTGCTTTTTTGTGCTGGTGATATTTTTGTTGTGGTCTCTGTATACTTTTATTTCAGTATTATAATATGTACATCGTTATGTAGCTCGAAAACGTAATCCTGAGTTACATTTTATGCCAATGAAGTAGCATTGTTTGTGTACGAAAACCAGTACATGCTTTCCGTGCCTGCCTTTTGCAGAGCCTCTACAACACCCCACTGGAAATCAGACACACTGGGAATGCCACCCTGATCCGCATACCGCTCTACGTCATCTGCCTCTTGTATTGCGAATTCTTTGGCGTGCGTATTGATACCTCCGAGGAAATTTTCCTCACCTGTCGCTTGCGCAACAAGCTCTAGGAACTGAGTCTTCCAAGCCAATGCCATGATCTTTCCAACCGGATCGCAGGCGAATGGGATAGTCACAGTATTTCCACCGATGCCATTCAAAGTAGCTCCCGAGGAACACAGTAGTTCATCAAAATCTGTATCGAACCAGTGAGGCATTTCAGGACAAGTGCTGGATCCTGCGCCTTGACCTCCCTGACCTCCTGTGGGTGATCCACCAGCTGGAGGTCCCCCGACAATACCTGCGTTCACATCCACAACTTCACCTGGTACAACGATAGCTCCCAGATCCTCGCCCTGTGGAGCCGCCATATCAGTGGAGTTGCTGTCTACACCGGCCACATTCTGTACAGGTGCCGCTCCGCCCTGTGTCCCGGTTTCTGCGCTATTCTCGGCCAAGTCAGGTGGTCCCCCCTGGGCTCCACCAAAACCACCCTGACCACCTTCTTCATTGCCCGAAGTGTATGCGGCATCAAATCCACAGCTAGCAACGTCTAGTGCCTCTGAATAGTCCCAAGGAATGTATTCGATAGTCCCATTTTGTGGCACGTATAGATAGAAGTTGTGATTATAGTATGGGTATGAAGGGTCCGAAGTATCGGCGAAAAAGCGCTGAGCACTATCCCAGTTCAGCATCAGGTAGTTTATCAAGAAGGAATTGAGGAATGAGTTAGAGTCTACTCGACCGTCCAGAATAGCCTGAGCGGCTGTTTGGTCACAATTGTCCCCTGCCAAACACTCGATAGCGAGTTGTGCAACTTCCGACAATTGAGCTAAACCTGTGAAATCATCATCACCCACCTCATCTGGCTCGAACTCATTTGTATTCAAGTCGTAAAGTGAATTGGGGTGTCCTGCAGATGGAAACCACACCTCTTTCCACAATGCGCCCAGAGGAACATCCTCTTCTGTGTATCGAGACTCTACGAATATATCATCAACTTCCTCCACGAAGTTGTATACACCATAGTACTCACCATTAACAAACACGCGAGCTGCAGTTATGCGAGGGCTATTCGTTAGTCGTTCCCCTAGGGCGGTGTAGGCTAACCGCTCACCAAGCATAGACGAATCTTTCTGGATACCGTGAAACAACAGTTTCTTCAATCCATAGAACTTTTGGTTGTCTACCTGGTCGAAATCCTCTGCAAAATTGTTAGAGTCTACCTTCCAACTCAAAGTACGACAGGATGTGGAGTCCTCTATTATAGATCCATCACTAATATCTACACAACCTCCAAAACTACCCTGATTGCCTTTGTATCGGCAACCAGCACCTATGAGCGTTAATGGTTCGTATGTATCGCTGCTAATTCCTGTGAGTGGATCAACGTAATTGACAGTGACATTGCAAGGAACTGTCTCCTCTGCCATTGGATCTGCGTTTAGAAAAGCTAGATTCTCCTCCGTCATGACTAAATTGTAAGAAAGTATTTGAGTTGCATCAAATAGCCAAGCCACTTCATCTGCCTCCGTAAGATTGGCGCTCTGGGCGATGTTACTCGACACCGCCAGGGTCGACAATACAATTGCTGCGTGGGAAAATTTCATTGTATCGCTAAATTTATTGTGCTGGGATTCTTTTTTGCTTTGATCTGTATTTATTTTTTAGTGTGATGATGTAGTTAGTCGTCTCTCTCACCTTTTATAGGCAGTGCAGTGGCCCTTGCAGCATGTTTGGTTGTCTACACTCTAAACTGGAACTGTACTCTAAAGTCTCTAAAGTCTAAAAGACACTGAAGCTGTGCATACTTTTCTTGTGTAATGTGTTGAAACTTGAATGGGTATTGTACTATTGTGTTCACTCGTTCTACTCATTTCTCATTTTCTCTCCGCTCTCTATAATTAGAGAGTAGAGACAATCTAGAGAGTAGACGTATGATTCACCGATTTTATCACCAGGCACAAGGCGGGGAAAACGGATAACCGTACACTTCTCGTTTACTTTTTAGTCTACCCAAAACTGAAAACACTCACAACTACCAACGAAACTACCAATGAAAACACGTCAGAACTTTTTTGACGTAAATATCACAATTAGACAGTGATACATACTGAGCCAGAGAGTGTAAAAACCGCGGCGTGTGTTGCCTGAGGACTGAGCAGTTGAGGACTTGAGGGTTGAGACTTGAAATTTCAAATTTGAGACTCTTTGAGGTCTCATGAGTCATGAGGCTCTGAGTTAACTGAGCTGGCTGAGCGTGCATGTCACTGCAGGACAGCAGGTCGCAGGACTGCAGGCCCCGTGAGTCGTGACCCCCGTCCGACACTTTTTTTAAATGTCGCATGATGGTGCAGGTGAGCCGTGAGGGTGTCCAACTGTCCACTTTCCACTGTCCACTCTGTGAGTCCTTGGAGCGTATTTAGTGCGCCATAAGCTGCCGATAAAATTTTGTTAGTGTCTTTTTTTTTTTACAACCAATTGGTATTTTTATTTTATTTTAATTAAAATTCGACTTTGAGTGTCAAATTTGAAATTTGTCGTAAAACAGAGAACCGACTGTCTGTCAGGCCTTAACTCACCCGAGTCCAAACTCCAAAGGGCCAAGACTCCCGAGAGTCTATAGGAGGGGTCCGCCCCCAAGGCCCCAGGGCGGCAGGGCCCCAGGCCCCAGAGTGCACAAGAGTGAAGAGAGAAGGTAGTGGTCACTGGAATTATTACGAAATGCCTTAGATTGTTTTTTTTATGTTGGCTTTTGCTTTCAGAGTATAAAGATTTACATGATGGGGATGTCCCGTTTAGATTATAGTTGAAATTTTTTTATAAAAATATAAACATCAAACTCAACAAGTTCAGAATCTCAGATGTTCAGAATGACAGAATGTATAAGTCGCTAAGAAGATTTTCGAAAGTTCACATACTCCGAGTTTACATTCTTTCTAACTCTTTTTATCCACAATTTCGTTTTAACTTTTCCTTTTTTGTTTTAGAAAAACAAATATAACATACATATTTACTTGCTTGTGGAACACATGTGTTTTTTGTGTTTTTTTTTGTTTTTTAAGAACACTAGTAGTTGTGTAAATGCTTGGTGTCCTGTACTGTATGTAAATAGTCTCTGTACGCTTTGTAAAATAAATTATCCCCGGGTCATCCCCATTGTGTAAATTCTCTCTTAGAGAAAACCACCAGAACAAAAACAATCTAAGGCATTTCGAATTTTGTTTCTATTTTTTTTCTTTTTAAATTCGTACTTCCCTCAGAAAGAAGAAGCTCAGACTCTGGGTCTCGGGCTCTCGGCCCTTTGGACTCGGCCCGCTCAGGTCCTTTAATAAAGGGTCAGTTGCGGACTCACATGCCGCGCGTGAGTCGGTCGGACAGAAAGTCGACTCGGTTGTCGTTTTTTATTTTTGCTTTTGTACATAACATAAATATGTATTTAGACATTTTTCATAGCTTTCTAAATCAGACAAGCCACATTCAATTTTAATCTGCATTTTTCGGAGACTTACTCCAAAATCAAAATCATAGCCTCCTAAATTGAACATCAAAATCAAAACAAGCCAAAAATAAAAAGGGCGCCAAAAAGAAAGTTATAATGGCTTTATGATACTGATATCACGTATAATTGTTCATGTGTAGTTTTGTATGCTTTCTATCGATAACTATGGTGTTGTGCGCGGTTGCAACTTGCAACAATAGAACAGGAGCTGTTCATGGATATGATGGGAGACCAGTGTTGTTCTGGAGTATTCCATCTATGAAATATTACCTAAGGTTTAGTCCAGGATCAGGTTATGCGGTGGCCAAAAGGAAGTGGATGTAAACAATTTGATGCGTGCCAAATGGACAGATGCTTGTTCTCCAATTTTCAGAGCCGATGGAGAACTGAATACGAGTCAAGTTGCAGAACTATATTAGAATAAAGCAATCAATTACTTTAATCAGTCGTTATTGAACGGTCAAATAGTAAGAAAATCAGTCATGACCTCGGTGCAGCACCAAAGATGCACCTTAGACTGTATTCCAATAACGGTGCACCCGTTGTGGAAGAAAAATCTCGCGATCGTCTCGTCATCATATTTGACAAATTATATCGGTTAGACACGGCTATACCGCTATAGGTGTGGATAAGAGAATATCAGAGCCCGACCTTGGCAACGAACTTGTGCGAAAGCGTGCCTTAATCATCGAGGACATTGCGAAGGCATTAAATTAAAATAACGCATGCAGAACGGCCATACATGGTGGACGTTAGCGTATATACCCTCTCACATGTAGCTTTAGCACGAACTTGTTGAGATGATGAACAAAACAGTTATATTCAGCTGAACACATTCCTAGAAACAAAGCTCGCATCAGCTAGCACAATAAGCTCTCTTCTCGGCAGCATGAAGTTTATTGAGTCCACAACTGATGATCTGATACCATCTGATGATCCAGTTCAAACATCAGCATCCCTATGTACTATTCTACGGAAACGTGTCACTATATTTTTATCGGGGAGTGCTATTGGAAAACAATCCGGCGGCTTTCTTTAGCTACAAGACTTATCTTGCCGAAATGATGGAGACTTGACAGATACAAGAGAAGATATTCACGCAATTCCTATGTGCTAGCAAATGCACATAGCATTGCTACGAAGGTTGCTGGTCACTATGATAATATACGAGAATACTCTTTGTATACATTCCGACTCGATCGATGGATGCTATTTTCATAAACCAACAGCAACGTATTACCAGCTGATTGTAATTTTGCTGGTACCAGATCGGCTCATGCTGCTCACCAATTCATCATTGAATCGTTCTTGACTGTAAGCGTATCCAAGGGTACCGTAAACAAGTGTACATATGCATGGAACAACGATATTATCTATGTTTTGTTTAGTTTATATTGTAAAGTGTGTAGTAAACACATCAAAATACGATACTAAAACCTACTGAGTCCTCCTGAGGCTCAGTGCGGCGTATTTATTCATATATTTGATTGTCTACTTGGTCTACAAATAATTCACCTCGTGTGAATTAATTGTAAACTAATTCTAACTCCACACTG